TTTCCTTGTATAGTGCTAGTGATTCTAACATAAAATGCCTGGCCACTTCTGGGGGTGAGGATGGGGCGGGAAACAGCCCCTTTAGAGCTTCCTGGGTTTTAACTATGACAAAAGAATGTTAGGAACATGAAAATCACTCAGAAACAAAATCCTTAGAGTGGGTCTCTCCCTATCTCCTGCCTCATAGGTTATTTAACTCTCAGTTACTGGCCTGGGTGGAGGTCCCTTAAGACATGATTTTCAAGCCATTCTGGAGGCATCAGAGGTCCCATAAGACTTTATAATTTCATTTAAAAAAAAAAAAAAAGTGATCGTGACCATCCTGGCTAACACGGTGAAACCCCGTTTCTACTAAAAATGCAAAAAATTAGCCGGGCGAGGCGGCGGGCGCCTGTAGTCCCAGCTACTCGGGAGGCTGAGGCAGGAGAATGGCGTGAACCCGGGAGGCGGAGCTTGCAGTGAGCCGAGATCGCGCCACTGCACTCCAGCCTGGGCGACTAAGCGAGACTCTGTCTCAAAAAAAAATAAAAAATAAAAATAAAAAATTAAAATTAAAATTAAAAAAAAAAAAAAAAAAAGTGACCAGGCATGACCACTCATGCCTGTAATCTCAGCACTTTGGGAGGCAAAGGCAGGTAGATTGCTTGAGCCCAGGAGTTCGAGAGCAGCCTGGGCAACACAGGGAGACATTGTTTTTACAAAAAATAGGAAAAATTAGCCAGGTGTGGTGGCATGTGCCTGTGGTCCTAGCTACTCAAGAGGTTGAGGTGGGAGGAGCACTTAGGCCGGGGAGGCAGAGGTTGCAGTGAGCCGAAATTGCAATACTGCACTCCAGCCTGGGTGACAGAGTGAGACCTTGTCTCAAAAAAACAAAAATAAATTAAAAAAAAAGAAAGCAACAAAAGAAAGAAAACGTAGACTGGGTGTGATGGCTCACGCCTGTAATCTCAGCACTTTGGGAGACTGAGATGGGCGGATCACGAGGTCAGGAGATCGAGACCACCCTGGCCAACATGGTGAAACCCTGTCTCTATTAAAAATACAAAAATTAGCTGGGTGTGGTGGTGCATGCCTGTAATCCCAGCTACTCGGGAGGCTGAGGCAGGAGAATTGCTTGAACCAGGGAGTCGGAGGTTGCAATGAGCCGAGATCGTACCATTGCACTCCAGCCTGGCGACAGAGTGAGACTCTGTCTCAAAAAAAAAAAAAAAGAAAGAAAACATAATAAGTACATCCACCAAATTCCATATTCTAAAGCACTCATGTTAACTCTTTCTTGGTTTGGGCACACCTCAGAAAGAAGTTTCTGTCATTCCTCTGCATACATGCAGGATTTGATGAGGAAAATTGTCTGTGGTGGTCTTTTAAAAGTATATAGACCTCTTCAGGAGAATTGCTTGAACCCAGGAGGCAGAGACTGTGGTGAGTCAAGATCGCGCCATTGCACTCCAGCTTGGGCAACAAGAGCAAAACTCCCTTTCAATAAATATATATATATATCTTTATGTCCATCTAAGCAACCTGGTAAAGCAGGTACAATATGACTTACAAGTGGGAAGCAGAATATTTTAAAATTTGGATCCTGAGCCTGATAGTGTATAGTGGGAAGCTGGGTTCTGAAAATGGGCAGTCTTGGGTTTCAATAGCTTTTTGCCCCTGCCCCCAAGGCTGGAGTGCAGTGGTGCAATCACGGCTCACTTGATCTCCCAGGTTCATGTCATCCTCCCACCTCAGCCTCCCGAGTAGCTGGGACTACTCGTGTGCCACCATGCCTGGCTAATTTTTGTGCTTTTTGTAGAAACAGGATTTCACCATGTTACCCAGAGTGATCTTGAACGCCTGAGCTCAAGCAATCCTCTGTGTCTTGGCCTTCTAAAGTACTGGGATTGCAGGTGTAAGCCACCTCTCCCTGCGTGAATAGCTTCTTGTGTGGCCTCCGATGAGGCATTTAACCTCTCTGAATCTCGGTTTTCTCATCCGTAAAACGGGGATAACAATATAAAAATAAAAGACATCCATATTCTTAAGAGTCATTGGTTATTTCTGGAACTTCTCTTTGACTTTCTTTCTTTTTCTTTCTTTCTCTCTCTCTTTCTCTTTCTTTTAACATTTATTCCATTCACTGTACTCAATTCTTTCACTTTTTTTTTTTTCCAGCTGGAATCTTGTTCTGTCACCAGCCTGGAGTGCAGTGGCACGATCTCGGCTTGCTGCAACCTCTGTCTCCTGGGTTCAAGTTATTCTCCTGTCTCAGCCTCCCGAGTAGCTGGGATTACAGGCATGCACCACCATGCCCAACTAATTTTTGTATTTTTAGTAGAGACGGGGTTTCACCATGTTGGCCAGGATGGTCTCAATCTCCTGACCTCTCATGATCTGCCTGCCTTGGCCTCCCGAAGTGCTGGGATTTCAAGTGTGAACCACCACGCTCGGCCCTCTTTGGCTGTCCAAGGTGATTTAATATCTCATAATTTCTACCATCTAGCATCTTTCTAACTACCCTTCTCAAGACCCCAGTCTTCTACTCCATCTAATCACATATTTCTCTTCCTTCAGGCAGTCCCCAGCCTCCAGGAGTCTTGTTCATTTCTTTGGAAGAGCAGCTTAGCTCTTTGCCTCACAGCACAATGCCGGAGTACCTTCCCTCAGAGCTAAAATTTCATCAGGAAGCAGCATTAAACACAGCCTCTGCCTAACACTGCCTGCAGCACAAGGCCCAGCAAAAGCTCCTAACCCAGTGTCCTTGAATACGATTCATTTTCTTGGGCAAGGTGCTCTCCTCCAGCAGCATCTGTGAGCAGGAGAGATTACTATCTTCAGATCTAAACCCTGCCATCTTCCTCAGGAGGCACAACTGCCTATTCGCTTCCTCTAGAAGGGGTGAAGTTAGCAATGTGAACTTACAGATTTGTCCTAATAAAATGTTGCTTTTAGCTCTTTAATATATAGGGATCCCATGTTGGAGTTTACTAGAAATACAGGGTTCAGTCACTAAAAAAACAGTTGACAACCACTGACTTGGGGCTTTTCTGTTTGCTCCCTGCTAGTCAGAAGGAAGACAGTTTGTTCTATTTTCTTTTCTTTTTTTTTTAAATGAGACAGAGTTTCACTCTTGTCGCCCAGGCTGGAGTGCATGGTACGATCTCGGCTCACTGCAACCTCTGCCTCCCAGGTTTAAGCAATTCTCCTGCCTTAGCCTCCCCAGTAGCTGGGATTACAGGCATGTACCACCACTCCCAGCTAATTTTTGTATTTTTAGTAGAGATGGGATTTTACCATGTTGGCCAGGCTGGTCTCGAACTCCTGACCTCAGGTGATCCACCCACCTCAGCCTCCTAAAGTGCTAGGATTACAGGCGTGAGCCACCGTACTTGGCGTTATTTTCCTTTTGAACCACAAAGATCCTTTCTTTCTTCAGTATTTATTCAATTAACTTACTTTCTCTCATACTCCAAAACTAGCAGAATGTTTACATCCTGACATCTGAGGACACAAGACCCTCTCATCTTAATTTCTCTTAATCATAGCAGATTTTTACATTCTCTTCCTAATATAAATGCGTTCATGCGTTACAGCTGCTGATTTTATAATTACCAACGAATTGGTTTTGGATGCAAGGAGACATTTTCTTCAAGTCATAGCATTTAGAACAGTCAACTGACCAGAATTTTAACGAGGTGATATTATGGTACATATTTGTTTATATAACTAAAACAACAAACTTAGATTTTAGATATTTTCCCTTAAAATGAACCCAACTTTCAACTGCTTTAGAAGAATATGTTGATATATTTCATTATGAATATACAAACTTGTATATAAAGAAATCCCTAACTAAATGGTTGGAACTATTTCCTTTAATTTAATTTTATTATTTTATTTTGAGACGGAGTCTCACTCTGTTACCCAGGCTGGTGTGCAGTGGCATGATCTCGGCTCACTGCAAGCTCCGCCTCCTGGGTTCAAGTGCTTCTCTTGCCTCAGCCTCCTTAGTAGCTGGGACTACAGGTGTTCACCACCACCTCTGGCAAATTTTTGTATTTTTAGTAGAGACGGGGGTTTCGCCACGTTGGTCAGCCTGGTCTTGAACTCCTGACCTCGAGTGATCCCTGCCCCCACCTTGGCCTTCCAAAGTGCTGGGATTATAGGCGTGAGCCACTGCGCCCGGCCGGAACTATTTCCTTTAGGCCAACCTGAAAAACTGAGGTTGGCATAATGATAATGGTTGAGCTCTCAAAAAACTAAAAGCATTTAACAACCTACATGATCTTCAGTATATAGTAGCAATGAGTATTAATTCTGAAATTGTATCTTGAAGATTTCTAAAAAATGCAATCGAGAAATAAATTATAGAAAAAAAGAAACTCTTCAAAACACAAATTTTTAAAAATGACACTAGACTGTAAGCTCCACAGGGCAGGGATTTTTGTCACTTCTGCGCTCTGCTAGATCTCCAGCACCTAGAAAAGGGCCTGGCACATGGTAGGTGCTCAGTAAATACATGGTGAATGAATATATATATATATTTTTGAGACGGAGTCTCGCACTGATGCCCGGGCTGGAGGGCAGTGGTGCGATCTCGGCTCACCGCAACCTCTGCCTCCCAGGTTCAAGCGATTCTCCTGCCTCAGCCTCCAGAGTAGCTGGGATTACACGTGCCGGCCACCATGCCCAGCTAATTTTTTGTATTTTTAGTAGAGACAGGGTTTCACTATGTTGGCCAGGCTGGTTTCGAATGCCTGACCTCGTGATCCACCCACCTTGGCCTCCCAAAGTGCTGGAATTACAGGCGTGAACTACTGCGCCCGGCTGGTGAATGAACACTTTCAACAATAAAGTTTGATTAAAAATTTAAGAAATTTCAGGTGCCCTCGATAGGCAATCGATCAACTGGAAACTAAAATGCCAGATAATTTTGCATCTTAAATTGACCCTGAAACAAATTGAGTAAGTCCAGTTTTTCTTTTCCATTTACAACTGGTTATTGGTTTAAAAAGCAGCCACTTCCCAGCGGCCTTTGCGGGAACAAGATGGCAGCCCCCATACCTCAAGGCCAGTTCTGGTGACTCAGTCCTCAGCTATAGTTCCAGTAAGAACTAAAAAACATTTCACACCTCCTGTTTATCAACCTAAATTTAAAACAGAAAAAGAGTTTATGGAACATGCCTGGAAAGCAGGATTGGTTATTCCTCCAGAAAAATCGGACCGTTCCATACATCTGGCCTGTACAGCTGGTATATTTGATGCCTATGTTCCTCCTGAGGGTGATGCACGCATATCATCTCTTTCAAAGGAGGGACTGATACACAGAACTGAAGGAATGAAGACGACTATGGCATCGCAAATGTCAATCCGGAGGATAAAAGACTATGATGCCAATTTTAAAATAAAGGACTTCCCTGAAAAAGCTAAGGATATCTTTATTGAAGCTCACCTTTGTCTCAACAACTCAGACCATGACCGACTTCATACCTTGGTAACTGAACACTGTTTTCCAGACATGACCTGGGACATCAAATATAAGACCATCCACTGGAGCTTCATGGAATCTTTAGAGCCCTCCCATGTTGTTCAAGTTTGCTGTTCAAGTATGATGAACCAGGGCAATGTGTACGGCCAGATCACCGTACGCATGCACACCCGGCAGACTCTGGCCATCTATGACCGGTTTGGCCGGTGATGTATGGACAGGAAGATGTACCCAAGGATGTCCTGGAGTATGTTGTATTCGAAAAGCAGTTGACAAACCCATATGGAAGTTGGAGAATGCATAGCAAGATCGTTCCCCCATGGGCACCCCCTAAGCAGCCCATCCTTAAGACAGTGATGATCCCTGGCCCTCAGCTGAAACCAGAAGAATATGAAGAGGCACAAGGAGAGGCCCAGAAGCCTCAGCTAGCCTGATGACAAAAATGACTTCTGGGGTGAAGCCTGGGTGATGAGGCTGCTGGAAGCTTTGAAGTCTCCCATTCCCATCATGCTACAGAAAGAACTACCTTTGTTCTCTCTCATCCTGCTCAGGTCTTTTCAGTAGTCTCATCCTCAGCAACCATGGCTGATGGCTGGGCCCTAGCAGGTGGCAGGTATAACATGGCCATGTACACTCTTCTTTTTTAAATTTTATATCAAGCTTCTGAGTCTAGATGAAAGACAGTATGTTTCAGAGAACATTGGATACCAGTTTTTTCCACAGCAGGGTCTGTGAGAGAGAACCAGCAGCATCCTCTTTGTAATCACAGAGCAGGGATCAGAGTTTGAAATAAAATGCTGTCAGAGTGTTGGTTTAAAAAAAAAAAAAAAAAAAGCAGCCAAACAAACACCCCAGTTGAGAAAAACCAAGTAATTAGATATATTTTAATATATAAAATGTTACACTTGTTAAATGTTATTGACCATAGCTTTCTCATCCCTGCTTATGATCCTTGTTGGCTTTTATTTTCTAACATTCTTTAGGCTGCAGGTAACAAAAAGCAAACTCCAACTAAACTGAAGCAGTAAATGAGTGGAAGGACTCTGAGGTGACTGACGAGCTTGACAAACAAGCTCATGGGCCCTCCCTCAAGGACTAGAAGGCAAGGCTGAAAACCATCAGGACACTGCCTCTCGCTGGATGTCTGCTTCATTCTCAATTTTTTCCCATGAGGTTGGAATCAAGGTTGTCAGCATCACTGGGACTTCTTCCTTTCCTGAGAGAAAATATCTTCCTAGCTCCAGTTAGATAGATCCTAGGGAGCGACACCTATGTGACCTATTTGGGGTCACATTCCTGTCCTGTGGACGGGTGTCTGTGACCAGGGAAGAAAGATCGGAAAGAACTTGAACTTTGAGGCCGGGCGCAATGGCTCAGCAGTGGCTCACGCCTGTAATCCCAGCACTCTCGGAGGCCGAGGTGGGTGGATCACTTGAGGTCAGGAATTTGAGACCAGCCTGGCCAACATGGCGAAACCCTGTCCCCATCTCTACTAAAAATACAAAAATTAGCCAGGCGTAGTGGCGGGCACCTGTCATTTCAGCTAATTGGGAGGCTGAGGCAGGAGAATTGCTTGAACCCGGGAGGTAGAGGCTGCAGTGAGCTGAGATCACACCACTGTACTCCAGCCTGGGTGACAGAGTGAGACTCTATCTCAAAAAAAAAAACAAAACAACAAGACCTTGAACATTTTGAACGTCTCCCCTTTAGACCATGTTAGCAGGATGAAGAGGACAGAGTAGCTCCCCTGAAAGACGGGTGGGCCATTCTCAGGAATGTCTTACTGAGGGTCACAGTTGGTGAGGAACTGGACTGGCTTCTAGCTTAGTATGTTTTCCATTAAAGACCAGTGTTTCCACAAATAAATGCAGCCCACAGACCAGTGTGGCTTTACTTGATATCTGGCTTTACTTTATAAAAATACACAACTTAAATACATATGACACTCTGTTTACAAGACATAAACAACTGGTAGATTTAACATTTTCAGTTATTTCAACAGAAAGAAAATATGTAAATTACCTTGTAAGAGTAAAGAGTTCATTTATAGACTCTGCTTTCACAGTTAAGGGGGAAGAATGCCCAGGGGCAATCAATGCAGGAAGCTAACCAACACCGTCCAGCTCTCCAGCAAAACTCATCTCGCCAACAGGGCCTCTATTGCACCGCCTAATATTGCACTGCTTGTTAGACACCATCTCACTTATCCATGTCAGAAGTGTAAGCTTTTGTCTTCTCTAGAAAAGTTTAATGGAAAAAAACAATGAACAAACAGTAAAACTGTGTCTTACAATTGTGCTAAATACCAATTATGAGAAGTACGAACCTCTCTTTGCTTTGCAAAGCTTGCAATGAAAGGTGGTTAGCTATATTTTGCAGCTAAGTTCATTTTCAAGTTTTACAAAAACTTTGATTCAGAGTAAGCTTGATGGGGTACAGTGGCAAAGGAGGTGACATTCCCATGCCTAGTGGAATTAGTTGTAAGGGGGCACTGTCACTGTCAAAGGCACCATGCACATGGCTTACAGCTCCACCCTTTCTAACTTTTGGCAAAATCTCTCCCTTCCCCTTGTGATGCTGTCATTGTTCTATGGGGCGCAGCTCCTTTTTTTTTTTTTTTTCCTTCTTTTTTTTGGAAACTGATTCAGAGCTTGCAGTGGCTGCTTACTTACTCTGGCTATCTTTCTGAAATTTAGCTGCCTTATCTATGGCTCGTTTAACTAACAGTGAATTAGGTACTAGTTTATAGGTATAAAGAAATAGTTTTTCAGTTGAGAATTCAGTATATGAGAACATACTAGAGTAAGTTTCCTGAGGTAAATGTATGCCTTAAAGAATGATGTGCAATCTATAGAACTGTAGCATTTTCTCTTGGGTAGCAACACAATGACCCCCAAGTCTGGACTTTTAAATTAACAGGCTAACAAAACTAAGGATACATTGATATAGAGAAATAAAATGACAATGCTGAAGTCAAAGAAATATTGACAGCTGAGATATCAATTCAAAAGGAGGCATGAAGGGGAACAGAGGAACAGAAGGAGCCTGTATTTTAAAGTGCTTAGGTAGGTTAGAAGATGAATTTAAAATGCCTCCAGGGATTTCTAACAAGTTTAAAAAGTGTTACTTCTTGGTGACTCAGATGTTGAAGACATGGCTTTTCTTTAATAATAGCTATTCAAACTTTTTATTCTTTTTTGAAAAACAAGATCCTCTATAAAAACGTTTTAGCCATTGTAATTATTCTGCTAGCTGTTACTCTCACTAATGTATTTTGAAATCCTAACTGGCTGAAGAATTTTTAATAAGGTTGAACTACAAAGCACACATTTGCACCAAGAATTTAAATTAATGCATAGATGTCTGTGAAATTTTGCATGAAGTTAGTGCCAAAAAAAAACCTTTCCATTGCAGATCATGCTTTGTTATTTCTTCATATTCTGCCGAAGGATTATAGGAGTCAGAAAAATTCTAGGACCCTGAAGCTTAACTTGCTTATTTTATTCCTTTTACGTAAATGAAGTGGTATATGGCCATTCTTAGCATTAATATGAAGGTTGGAAACTGAGTCCCAAGACCTAAGAATCAAGCTCAGGCTAAATTTCACCAACTCACACATAAGGATATGAGTGGAAGCACTAATGAATTTTCTCTGCTATAATTGCTCATCTGTGCAATACAGTTGAATGAGGTTCCCAATCTATTATGTAATAACAGTGATGAAAACTGGCACCAGCTTTTATACAGGGCCACACATTCAGTGAGTTGTCATGTCAATTTGGGCTGACACTACCATGTATGATCCCTCATTCATATGACTTCTACATTCTGCTGTGAGGGCAGACATGTCTGAGTGCTTTCAGCATGATAAAGGCCTTCCTTAAGCAAAATTTAAGTCCTGAAGAACTCTGGGTTGGAGTTCTGTAGCCTCAGAAGCCAGTTAAAGGCCAGAGGAAAATCTTGCAAGAAATAACATATATCAATCAGTTCATTTATAAAGTTGTTTTGATATTACCAAGATGAAAAGTGCTATGATAAAGCAATGTTCTGGTTTCCTGATGACAAGCTCAGTGCAGCACGAGTACAGGCATACAGTGAAAAGCTGCTGTGTGGAAAATCCACAAGACTGCAGTGGGCTTGGATTGGAAGAGAGTGGCTTTTCTTCTTAGGTGGTAAGGTAGATGCTCTCTGGCAGTCGATATGGGATAGCTTTTTAAAATCCACAGGATAGGAAGATTTTATATACTTTCAAGCCCCAATTAGTACAGCTAATTGAAAGTATATAAAAATGTTAGTTAATGTGGCTGTAGCTAAAAATATGATGTAACAAGAGTGATGACGTAATGAGTCAAGTGGTGAGACTGGTTCTATAAGCACCGTAAGGAGTGCCAGTCCTAATACGGGAACTTCATCCATCCCTTGTATACCAAGGAAGAGACTGTGGCCAGAGAATGTATTTTGTAAGCTATAGTTTAAAAATTTGGAGCCCAAACAGGAATTACAGAGATTCCTCCCAATAAAGGCCCTGAGATTTCCCCTGACTGCCACCCAAAGGATCCACACTTGTCTCTGGTCAACCAGGTTCAGGTCAAGGCTTAGAAGAGGGAGGAGGCAGTGGCCAGAAGCCAGGGACTCAAGAGGAGAGAAACGATGGCAGATGTGGGGTTCAGAAAAAACACAAGAGGGGAAGGGGAAGAGGGGAAAAAAGGAAGAAACAACACTGGTGAGGAAGTGCAGAAGAGGCCAGCTTTGCTGAGGAGTGGCCCTGCCTTTCTCACCTGCCTGTGGCAAAGGCTGGCAATAAGACAAGGGCTAAGCCTCACGGGGAGTCTCTCCTACTGCATCAAGCTTGCCCTGAGCTTGGCTGGCCTTTTCCTCTGCCGATGTGCATAATCTTCAAGTGCGACTTGTAAGTATCTGGTTTTGTTTTGTTTTGTTTTTGTTTTTGTTTTTTTTAAAGACACAAGGTGTTACTATGTTGCCCAGGTGGGACTTGAGCTCCTGGGCTCAAGCAATCCTCCTGTCTCAGCCTCCTGAGTAGCTGGGACTACAGACAGATACTACTGCACCTAGCTCCTGCAAGTACTTCTGTCTTGGGGTCTGATTCCTCATTCCCAGGTGCACAATGCTCTCTACTGCTACCAGCAACCATTTCTATGGCAAGGGAAAGGCCTCAGATCCAGGGACAGGATGAGCAGCAGCTAGTGTACCTAGAATTTGTGGCTACCACCACCTTTTCTCTTAGGACTGGCTTGTCTCTCCCCCTGGTGGCTGCAGAAGAGGAACAGAGTGAATATCAGAAAGGATTGCTCAATTCAGAACTGTATCACCTCATTTTACAAACTCCCAAAGGGCTGCCAAGAGTCATCATTATAGATCGATGGTTAAAATATCACCTAAGGAACTCATCGTAAAAGCAGCAACTTCTCTGTAAGGTCACACCAAACTTACAGGGATTCTGATGTTGTTTGCTTCCATTTTTGTTATTTTCTTCTCTGATGAGGAATTCAGTAAAAAACAAAAAGTGAAAGGGTCCTCTTGTCCTCTCTTCCGTCCCTCCAGGAACCTCGTGGATTTCCCCAAGTGAAATGTCTAAGGGATACTATAATTACAGAGCTGACGAATGAGAAAAAAATTCAGATTATCTAGAAATATGAAATGAAGTAAGCGACGCTCAGTTCTCTTCACTTCATACAAATGCAGGTCATTTCTCAGTAAAATGTCTATGAAATGGGCACCTGAATTACTGATATACAAATGACAACACATGAATGAAAAGAGCAGTGAGATTCTGGGAAGGAAAACTCCATGTTGGTTATTTCACCTCTAGGGAAAGTCTGTTTGCATTTGAGTCCCACACGTGGCTTTTTTCTCTACTTTCTACTTGATGTTTTTCAGGAGGGCTGTCCGAGCATTCACAACTGCTTTGAAGGCATCTTCACTGCCAGGTGCTACACATTTGTCAGGGTGAAGCAGCACAGCAAGTTTCCGATACGCTTTATTGACTTCATCCCTGGGAAAAGCAGCCAAGATCTATGTTAGTAACAAATTCAGCCCAACCCACTGCATGTTAGCTGTTTCGATACACATATCTCTTGCAGTGAACATATCCTAAATTATTACCCTTTCTCAAAGGCAGGATTAAAGGACTAGAAAACAGACAATGAACCAATAAATAATACGTTATAACACAAATTGAAAAAATTATTATTACACAATGCAAAAAGTATGTAAATGCTAACAAAACACTTAGTAAAAGAATAATCAGATGAAAACAGGCAGTACTTGGCACCTCGCAGGCACTCAGCGTATCTTTGCTGATTGAAAGAATAAGGGCTTGGGCATCAGGGAAGGCACCCAGAGTCGCCTTCTGAAAGAAGGGGTTCTGGGAGAGAACCAACAGCAGCCTGGAATGGAGCCCGAACACAGCACAGACAGAAAGCAAAACAACCCCAACACCTGGGCTTGATAAACAATCACAACAGTAGGTGCTTCATGACAAGTGTGTGCTGGGAAAACTGTTTCTCGAAGTTAGGATACAGGAGGTTGTTACATAACCCAGGCATGAGTGAGTACAAGAGTTTAGATTGAGGTATTTGTGGAAGGAAACAAGGGAAGATAAAAGATAAAGAAAGAAATGGCAGAAGTGGATGATAAGCTGAATATCCAGAAGGAGAAGATGAAAGGAAAGGGGCTGAAATGAGCTCTAGGGTCAAGGTCATGAGGAATCTGAGGCCCAAGAAGGTGACACCACTGAGCAAGCAAGGGATGCTGGAAAGGGGTAGCCCAGAATGACCATGAGCTCACTGAGACCAAAGAAGAAACATGACAGAGATCAGTACTATCCGGAGAGGAAAGGAGCAGTAGCTGTGCTTTTCCAATCCGGCGGTTCCCATAAACCAGCGGCGCTCCAGGAGAGAGCTGCAGGCTTCTGAGCGCCTCAAAGAGCCAAAACTGGCTGGGGAGGGGCCTGGATACATCTGTCCCTGTCCCCACTGGTCATCATAATCTGATGTCAGGCCTCCCAGAAGGCTCTAAGTACCCAGCCACTCCCCTGTCAGATTAAGCTCTGTCTCTACCAGATGGTTTTACTTCTCACCTTCCTTTTGTAATTCAGGGTTCCAGTGATCCTATAAGCACGGATACGGCGCTTTATCAAATGCCCTAGCCTTTCTCCTTTATTTTTTATCAGAAGGATTTCTAATGTGACTCGCCAAATCAGACGGCCTTTGATACCTTGGCTATGATGGAAAGTTTTATGAATCAGCTTGGAGAGACTGAGGTCATAGCGTCATGTTAACAGTCCTCCAAGTCTTAGGCATACATTCTAGGGCCTTTTCTGCTTTCTGCTCTTAGAGGGGTCCTGAATTTTCTTGTTTTAGCAAGAACCTTGTTCTTTCAGAAGGCTACTCTGGCGTGGGGCCTTCCTGGTGCCCTGCATGTTGTTTTTCTACATGTATCATTTTGATAATTCGCGAACAAGAATGACATTCTCCCTCTCTGAAGCAATTCGAATTGTCAGAATTTTTATTTGTCCCAAAGACCCCATATCCTTGAGGAAGGTACAGCATCCTCCCTCTTCTCCACGAGGGAGTCCTGGGAAGGGCCCTTCCAGCCACTCTGCCTCCCGAGAGAGGGTGTGCACATGGGGTCAGTAGTTACACCTGGTCCTCTGCACTAAGAGTGCCTTTCAAGATTTGCAGGTAGCAGGAGAAACTCTCAAGATGTAACAATACATCAATTCTGTTGAAGACGAAGATTTTCTTAAAGTTCAAGAACAGTAAACACAGTTAACACTCAACAAATATCAAAACTCTCTGTAACTTAAGAAAAAAATGTTTTAAGGTTTTTTTCCCAAATGTACTTAGTGCCATACAAAATTAGTTTGCTAGGCCCAGTGGAACAAAGGTAAGAAGCACATGTTTCTATTGGTTAAGGACATGAAACCTATAGGGGCCTGTAAGTTCTGGTAAACTTCAATTAACCAAAGTGAATACACAAGGAACCAAAAGTTTCTTCTTTCTTAATGAATATTGTTCTCAGTCTACTAACAGGTAGAAAAAGTAATCGTTTCTTAAGTTTAGAGCCAGCATCCCTTGGAGATGACACAGAAGAATTCAGAAAGAGACTATGGAGGTCTAAAAAGAAATTTAAAAGATACGGATATACAGATTCAGTGCAATCTTACTGAAACCTTACTGGCTTATTTATTTATTTATTTTTGTAAATGGAGAAGCTGATCTTAAAATATATATGGAATTACAATAGATCCTTAATAGTCAAACAATCTTGAAAAAGAAAATAGGAAGACACATTTTCCAATTTCAAAACTCACTAAAAATCTACAATAAACCAAACAGTATAGCACTAAAAAAAAAAGATCCCGATAAACTCTATGCCTTACACATGAGGTCATCTGAATTCCCTGACAGCTTTAGAGCATCCTCAATATCACCTGGTGAATGAGTGTGCTCAGTAACAGTCTTCCCCTTCCCTTCTCCTCTTTCATTCTGGACCTGAAGATATGCTGTGAGGTCAGAATGGAGAAGAGATGTGTAGTGCTTTGGGTGCTGACATGGCAATTTCAAGACATACTTTTTTCTTTTGTGAGAATCAAGGTGACAAAGTAGGAAGGGTGAAGTATGTGGGGGGAGTCTGGGTGCAAAATAAGACACACAAATTACAATATGTGTAGTAACGGTGGAATTAGACCATTGAAAGTTACATAACCATAATGAATAATAATTTAATTTTGGTACAGGCAACAAAGAATAGTGATTGAATTTTTTTTCCTGAATAACTCTTTTGACTTAAATAAAATAATTAACATAAATACACACACAGAGGGCTGGGTGCAGTGGTGGCTCACGCCTATAATCCCAGCACTTTGGGAGGCCAAGGCGGTTGGATCACCCGAAGCCAGGAGTTCAAGATCAGCCTGGCCAACATGGCAAAACCCCATCTCTACTAAACATTCAAAAATTAGCCGGGCGTGGTGGCGTGTGCCTGTAATCCCAGCTACTCAGGAGGCTGAGGCAGGAGTATTGCTTGAACCCGGGAGGCAGAGGTTTCAGTGAGCTGAGATCACACCACTGCTCTCCAGCCGGGGTGACAGAGTGAGACTCTGTTTCAAAAATAAAAATAAATAAAAAATAAAATAAACAAACAAATACACACACAGATGAGGAACGTACACACAGATGAGGAACGTGCAGGGCTTTAGAGATAGACAGTTGAACATATAGTGTTCCAGGGTAAGAACCAATTATACCACCAACTCCTGAGATTCTTGAACATGCTTAATCTCACTGAATCCCAGTTTTCCCACCTACAAAATGAAATGTTTGTACAAGTTGATTGCCAACATGCTTTCCTCATCTAACATTCTATGATTGAATAATTCTCTTGTTAGTTTTTTTTTAAAGTTACATGAGCTTCAAGGCTCTTCTTGTTCCACACAGATGAAAGCAGAGCATACCATTTCACGAAGTGTTTATGCACATACATGACACAATTTTCTTACCGGGCAACTGTGCCCTCTATTTTATCTCTTTGGTATTCAGCTAATTCAGTGAAACAGAGTCATTCTGATACATTTTCATACATCTTCGTATTTCCAGCCAATTGGAAGAAGATGTACTGCACCTATAATTTTGGTGATGGGGTCTTTCTTTATGATAGAAGTCAGCACTGAAATCCCAGAGCGCTTACCTTGACGCCCCAGGTTTGACTCCCAGCATGTCCCAACTGTCTTTACTATTTCGAATTCTGCGAATGGCATCTGCTTGTTCTTTGGTGAAACTAGCACTGCTATTTGTGGTAGGGCGTTTCCCGCCATTTTCACATAAATCAACTATGGATACATAAAAGGTCTGCAAGAAGAAAACACATCCCAGGGTAGAAATGATTTTGTGAAAATAGGAATTCCTTTTAAACATCAACTTAAAATACTTTTAATATATTCCAGCAACTCTTAGAAGTCATGTATAAAGCAAATACATACTTTGGAAGATTTTTTTCTTTTATACTATTTAAATATATATATTCATATATTTTAATATGCAAAAAGTATAAGGAATAAAATTAAAGTGGCTGATAATCCTACTTTCAGATAACCACAACTGAAGTTAAAAAGTCACAGATGAGCTGGGCATGGTGGCTCACGCCTATAATCCCAGCATTTTGGGAGGCCGAGGCGCACGGACTGCTTGAGCTCAGGAGTTTGAGACCAGCCTGGGCAACACGGCAAACCACCGTCTCCACCAAAAAAAAAAAAAAAGAAATTGGCCAAGTGTGGTGGTGCACCACCCAAGCAGTAGTCCCAGCTACTTGGATGGTGAGGTGGGAGGATGCTCGAACCCAGGAAGTGAAGGCTGCAGTGAGCCCAGATCATGCCACTGTACTCCAGCCTGGGTGACAGAGCCAGACCCTGTCTCAAAAAACAACCAACCAACCAAAACAAAAGTAATAGATAAACACTGTTAGAAAAATTCAAATAGTAAAGAAAAGTGTAAAATAAAAACTGTGTCTCTCTACTCCTCAAGTTCCTCTCCTGGAGGTAACCATTGTTAATTTTTTTTGAGCATCCTTTTAGAAAAATTTACCATGAGTATGCCAGTATATACACAGACCCATAATCTTTCAACATGTATTAAAGGAGATCAGATTAAACACATCTTAGCACCTTGCATTTTTTTCCACATAATAATACATCCTGGAATCTTTCTATAGCTACATGTAGAGACTTTCTTTGTTCTTTTAAATGACTGTTCAGTATTGTATGGTGTGGGCTGTACCATAATTTGTGTAACCAACTCTCCATTCTTGGACAAGTCAGTAGTTTCTAATTTTTTTGCTACTACAAACAGTGTTTGTGTATACATCTCTGTACGCTTGTGGGGATACTGCTTTAGGATAAATTCCTAAAAGCAGAACTGTTGAGCCGGAGTATATGCACATTTTAATTTTTGAGTCTGACAACCGTTGTCCAAAAAAAGCTGTACCAGTTTACATTCCATCACTGTGTGTGTGAGAGAGAGTGCCTATTTCTCCATACCCTCATTAACACTGTCCATTATCAAACATCTTAATTTTTGCTAATCTGATATATATGTAATATAGTTTGATTTGCATTTGTTTAATTGTAAGTGAAAGTGGGTATCTTTCCAAATGCTTATGGCCTTTTCTTTTTCTGCAAACTTTATATTCTTTGCCCATTTTTACAATTTTGTGTTTTCTTTTTTTTAAGACAGGGTCTCTCTATGTTGGTCAGGCTGGTCTCAAACTCCTGAGCTCAAGTGATCCTGTCTCAGCCTCCTGAGCAGCTGGGATTACAGGCATGCACCACTGCACCTGGCTACACTTTTCTGATTTTTTTTAAAGTGAAAGCTTTTTTGACTCTGCTCCTGTTTCATGTTCTGTGCACACTGTAATTATTACTGAACAATACTCATTTACCACACTACAGCTACTTTTAAATGGACATATCTCCTCTTCTAATTTCTTTAAAAATCTTTTCCTCTTCTTTTTTGGATTCTTCTATAGTTCTTGTTATCTTCTAAAATTTTTAGCTTTCTTTCAGACTCTTCTTTCTTACCTCTAGTATTAGCCAATCAACCTGGTAACCTAACAAGAAGCCTTGACGTCTGAAAAGGGGTGTCAAAGGAATACCACTAGAGACCAAGACACAAGACGTATTAGCTTGGCTTTAGTCTATCTTAATATTGCTCTCTCTGTTAACAGTATCAACCAGATAAAACCAAGTTACTTCCTGACATAAAATGTCTATTAAGTAGATAGGAAATAAAGAAAATATTTATTAAATTGAACCAACAGGAAAGCACTACTTTTAAGTACTTACTTATAGAATACTGTAATTATTCTCTTCTTGTTAGTCTTTTTTTTTTTTTTTTAACAGACTAATTTATGCATTAGTTCTATCCAAGATGTAGCTAAAACGATACAAGTCACATAAAAGGGATCACAGTTCACGGATGTTTGCTAGCTGTGTGTCAGTAAGATTGTCTTCTAGCCTATGAGTTAGCCTGAAATATGAGTATTCATAGATTTCTGAAGGCATAAGGATTCATTCATCACACACATGGTTATAGAAGACAAGCCATGGTGTGGGCTACAGAATACGAGGATTGAGACCAAAGCCTGTTGAAATTTCATGTCTGAGTTCCAGCTATGACAGAGTAATGAATACTGGACTAGACCTCCTGCCATCAACTACTATTGAACTGGAAAAAAAACTGTTGGTAGTAGACAACAGCAAGTACAAGACCATTCCCTGAGAGATAAGCCCCACAATCACCTGGTTGTCTACTTGGAGTCCATTTCCTGACCACGTCACAGAGAGCTGGAGTCTGAGCAGACACAAGTCTCATTGAGCTGAGGAGGTGGCTAGAATCTGCAAAGCAGGCCACTGGAGAGAAGAGAGCTGTGCAGAGCTGGGCACCAAGTCCATATGGGGGTCTCTCATGAGTCTGTGGCCAAAGGCTGGACTATAATATGCATAGGGTGAGATCACTCAAGGCTTACCAGGTAACAGCTGCTATGGGGTTGAGAACAAAACCAATATCCTGAGTTCTAGTGGTGCTACAGAAAGCGCTATCCTGGGAACAGTATGGTTTAGCCTTGTCAGAGTGGAGATATTGCCTTAACCCCTTATTAATTGCCCTACCACCTATTGAGGCACCACAGAAAGGCTGTGCCCTAAAAATTATAGACTCATCCTAACAAAACCTAAAACCAAGAGCTGACAAGATCTGCAAAAGAGACAGAATTTGGAAGCTGAGTCCTGCCAAATTAGAAGGGCTTGGGAAACACTTTGAGCTTTCTTCAAATCCTTGCTATTAAGGCAAAAAAAAAAAAAAACCAAGTCAACACAAGTTCATTGTAATTTGCCAATAATTAAACTGCCTCCTGAGGAATCAAAAATCAACACTAAACAGTCTTCAATCAAGAATCAACAGTCTTCTGAGGAAGATAAAAGAATCTAAAGTCTCTACAATGTGTTATCCACAATGTCTGGTGTTCAATCAAAAACCACTATTCATACAAAGAAACATGAAAATGTGATCCATAGTCAGGAAAAAAAAGTAGTAAATAGAAACTGAACCCAAGATGGTTCAAATGTTGGACTTCGCAGACAAAGACTGTAAAACAGCTATTATAAATATTTCAAAGAGGTGAAGAAAAATACATTCAAAGAAGTAAAGGAAAATATACTCTTAATGAGTGAGCAGACAATCTAATAGAAAACTGAGAACTATACTGGGAACCAAATGCAAATTCTAGAGCTGAAAACTTCCCTCAGTGAATTTAACAGTAGATTGTCAGTGGTGAAGTAAAATCAACAGAGACTATGCAATCTGAAAAATGCAGAAAAAAATAGATTAAAAATAAATATAGCCTCAGGGACTCTGGGACAAAATCAAATGGTCTAACATACATGTAATTGGAGGCCAAGAAGGTAAAGAGAGCCAGAATGTGGCCAAAAAAAAATCTGAAGAAATAATAGTAAAACAAAAACAAAACAAAAAACTTCCCATATTTGATGAAAAACACCTACCTACCAATCTTAGAAACTCAGTAAATCCCAAATAGAATAAAAATGAAGAGAATCACATCTTGGCACATCATATTCTAACTGCTGAAAACCAAAGAAAAGAGAAACTCTTGAAAGCAGCCAGGGAGAAAAAAGGGCACATTAGGCACAGAGATTAATAAAAGTCAGAATGAGTGCTAACATCTCATGAAACACAATGGAAGCCAGAAGAGAATGGACCAGCATCTTTAAAGTGCTGAAAAACATTTCATTTCTAACAATTATGTCCCTTGGACAAATCACTTTACTACCCTTAGATGCTCTCATATATGAAATGATAACAATACCTGCCATACATTGTTGTTATAAGTCTCCATGTGATGAAATGTATAACTTCTCCAGAATGGTAAAGTACTAGTCAAATGGTTAGGTATCATTATTATACACATACAGGCACAAACTCACATTGCTCCATGTACTCAAAAGAATAGAAAGCATGGCAAACCAGCATCAACTTTATTTCATTTTGAAATAGAAAATACTTTTGCTTAATTCAGCCTGTCAGCCAAGGAAGAAATCTGTCTTCTAGTAGGAGGAGTGACATCTTGTGAGAAGGAAATTCAGCATAAAAGATTAAGTACAATCCCACTCAACAATTAAGAACAACTCTTTATAGTGTAACTATATTATTTGAAATGCTAAAAATTCCCAAAATATCAGATATATTCATAAGAAGAAAAATACATTATTCATGCTACCACTTACCTCCAAATGTATCTATAATTAAGGGCTGACTTTATAAGTTACTGTTTTAAATAGCCTATTTCCCTTAAAATTACTCAAGATGAGTAGGTTTTTTTAAAGTGGCCATCTATTCAGGTTGCAATGTGAGCATCTCCCTCTATTTCCTGCTTGATTGGCAAGGCCTTATTTTTGTGTGACTGGCTGGAGTCTACACTGAGAGTCTCCTATTCTCTAACTGTACCCCTGTGGGCTACAATATAGGATTATACGAGCTTTGCAAGGCAATTTTGCCACAGTAATGCTTCTATTTGATTATGCATATAAATGTAATACCATTAGCCAAAGGTGGCTTTGAAGAAAATCTCTGTCCTGCTTAAGCAGTGTATAATAACTGTTGTTAAACTTGATGATCTTCAGGATCACCTGGAGAGTTTTTTCAAAATACAGCTTCCTGGGCTCCACTGCAACATAAGCTTCCAGTAGGTCTGGAGCTCAGAAGTATGTATTTTGAAGAATTTCCTCAGGTAATTCTGATGATCAGCTAAGTCTCATCTAAAATAGACAGCAGGCAGATCACTCACTCTCATTCTCTCTTCCTTTCTCTCCCCCTTTCTCTATTTCTATCTCACTAGATTCTTTGAAAAGAAAGAGCTTATTCTAATGAGAAATTCCTATTACTTTTTTGCTTCCTATAATTTAAACTAAAAATTGGCACAGTGGCCTTGACACAAACCTTAAAACGACAAAATGCTAGCTTACCTGGAACATCTCATTAATGCCTTCTCCAGTTTGTGCTGAAGTTTCAAAGTACAGGAACCCTTTGCTTTCAGCCCAAAGACGTCCTTCACTTTCATCTACACAGCGGTGTTTGGTACAATCAATCTGAAATAGAAGGGGCCGGGGGGCAGAGAGAAGATTACAACCTTGTCCTACTAGAATGGACCCAGTGAGGGTCTTTGTCAATCCTTTACTAAGGCAAAGCTATTCTTAGTAAACGTCTGCACTAGTATGTAAAATTACCAGGACCAAAGGGACACAAACAAAACCTAATATTGAATGTAGACTGATATTCTATGGCAATAGGACGAGTGCCTGTTGCTGCAATGTCCCACCTGATCCCTTGGGAAAACAGCTGTTACTCAGTTCTGTTAAAGTTGGTTTCATGATATCTGCCATACCCTTAGGGCCACAGTCTGCTTTTCATACCTTTCCATAGCCCACATCACCTAATTAATGCCCCTACTCCAGTCGGGTCAGAGTGTGATTATTAGGACCCATTGCTCCCGCTCAGTCACAAACATCCTTCCCCAAGTATGGCACCAAGAAAAAAAAAAAAGTATACAAATCTTGATGTAGCAGGTTTTAGGTTGCTGTGCTGTTTTCTTTTTGTCTTAGGGACGTTATGTTTTGAAAGGTTATTGATTCCCATATTATACAATAAGGAATTTTTCTTTTCTTTTTGTTTCCCAACACTCAAAGCTCCACTCTTCCCCTAGAAACCTGAACACACCATTTCCAGAGGGGTTACCTTGTTGGCACAAACTACAAATATAATATTTTCCATGTTTCCATGAGGTCCAAGCTCTTGCTTCATTTCTGCCAGCCACGCATCAAGGGCGTCAAAGGAGTCTTTCTGCCCAACATCATAGACCAGTATCACACCCTGTGTGTCCTTGTAAAACTCATTTCGAACCTTCAAATAAAAGGACAGATACACAAAACGTAGTTTTTGTGATGTTATAAGAATATATCTCATAGTCATTAACCTGGCAAAGTGTGTTCTCTTGTGTATTCTTAGTGTTTGCTATTGCATCTGTTTCTACTGGTCTTCAGAGGGTTTTTTATAGAATCAAAGTAACGTCATTCTAAAAATGTATTAGTATAGAAAGGACCTACAATGGAAAACAATAGCCTCCTGCCCCACCCCATCCCACCTCCAGTTCCACTCCCTAGAGGAAATCAGTCTTTAATTATTAGTAGACCTTAAAAGAACACCAATTATATAAAGTTCTTCTTAGGAAGAATTAGGAGGGTGAGTGAGCAATTCAAAAGAACTTAAGGCAAAAATGACACAAGTGTCAGCAATGGGTACAGCCATTTATAAATCATATCCCAAAGCTGGCTTCCCCCAGGGTGCTAGACAGAGCTTCCCTGACTCTCGGGTCTGCACACCAACTTTAGAACTCCAAACTCAGAGCCTCAGTGTAATACAATGGAAAAGAGCACAGGCTCTGGAGTCAGACAGATCTGGGTTCACACTTACTTACTAGTTGTGTGATCTTGGGCAAGTCACTTAACCTCTCTGCGTCTCAGTTTCCTCATCTGTAAAATGGGGATAATACTACTTACTTCACAGGATTATTATGAAGGTTAAATGAGATAATGCAGGCAAAGTACTTAGCATGGTGCCTGAAAAACAATGTCTATTTAACACCCTCCCCTTCCTTCCTTGCATCCATTCTCTGAGCTTCATTCCAAATCCGGGAAGAAGCAGCATGAAGTATGGGCATACTCAAACATTAGGGCCAGAGAGAGGTTAAGTGGGTGAGGAGCAGCATTGACAGACAGGGTTTCCGGGACAAAGTTTCAGAAAGAACCCTGACAGAGGCCATATATTATACGTTCTTTTCACAGAATTCCCAAATGTACTCAGACCCACACAGGCTATGTAGTATAAGAAATGAAAACATGTTATACATATCAGGTAGGGTTTCTGGGCATAGGCAGGTATCTGCACCAAGGATATTAAGTGCTCCTATTTGTTTACAGAAAACTAAGAAGCTGTCCCCTAAAGTTAAAACCAACAAAATCAGAAAGAACTGAAGATGACTAAGCCACCAGTCCCCTTCCTCAGTACTCATGGTCTTTGGCCCTTCTACAGTAGTAACAATGGGCTCTCTCTTCTTTCCTAAAACTCTCGCTGCCTTGGCTCCCATACATCACATTCCCTAGGCTCTTAAATTCTCTTTCACCAACTCCTCTTCTCTCTATTGCTCCCATTCCAGCTTACCACCAAAATCCCCCAAATCCTGTCCTGTGCCCTCTTCCTGTCTTTTTGAATCCTTCCTCCCAAATCAGCAACATCAACCACTTGTACAGTTTCAACTGTGAGAATCTCCAAGATGAGCCCTCTCCTCTGAGGTTCCAGACTTCCATTTCTAATTAGCACCAGATTCTTCCAGCTGAATGTCCTGTTGGAATCTCAAATTCAATATGCACACAGGAAACCCTTCAACTTCTTCCTTCTTAAACTATTCTCCAAAGTTCCAACTTTCTCAAACAATGTTAAAAGTTTCTGATCAGTTCTCCACCAACCTTCCGAGTCTTATCCTCCCACTATCCCCGACCTTCAAAGTGGGTAATCTCTCATTCCCCAAACCTGCCCCATGCCTTTCTAATTCCATCTGGAAACAGACACCTCTTTATCTTTAATTGTTCAAGCCCTGGCTATAATGCTGTATCTCTCATGCAGCTTTCTCTGTCCCATTCCTCACCATCCAGCCCCCTACTCCTGCAAAACAGAATGTAATCTCTACGTCCCCTGGAGTACCATATGGTTTTGTACTCCTAATAGTGCTGTCACTTCCTGCCCAGTTTTACAGTTAGTAGCATATCCAGCTGTCTTCCCTCCTACACTAGAAGAAATGTGAAGACATGCATCTTCATGTATCCACCCTTGTGTCACCCACAGGGCCTAGCAGAGACAGGCACACCTCACTTTATTGCACCTATGTAAGGCACACAGGCATACCTCACTTTATTGCACGGTATGTACATATTGTGTTTTTTTACAAAGTGAAGATTTGTGGCAACTCCAAGTCAAGCAAGTCTATCGGTGCCATTTTTCCACAGTGTGTGTTCATTTTATGTGTGTGTCACATTTTGGTAACACTTATAATATTTCAAACTTCATCATTATATCTGTTATGATGATCTGTGATCAGTGATATCTGTTACTATTTTAAGTGTTTTGGGGTACCATGAACATATAAGGTCATTTAAGACAGCAAACTTAATAAATGTTGTATATATTCTGACTGTTCCACCAAATGGCTGTTGCCCCATCTCTCTTCCACTCCTTGGGCCTTCCTATTCCATGAGACAAAACAATATTGAAAGTAGGTTAATTAATAACAATACAATGGCCCCTAAGTGTTCAAGTAAAAGGAAGAGTCACATATCTCTCATTTTAAATCAAAATCTTGAAATGATTAAGCTTAGTGAGGAAGGCATTTCGAAAACTGGCCAAAAGCTGGGCCTTTTGTACCAAATTAAAAGTGCTACTCTTGTAAACACATGAATGATAAGAAAGTGAGACAGCATATTGCTGACATGGAGAAAGCGTTAGTGGTCTGGATAGAAGTCCAAACCAGCCTCAACCTTCTCTTAAGCCAAAACCTAATGCACAACAAGTCTGTAACTCTCTTCATTTCCATGAAGGCTGAGAGAGATGAGGAAGCTGCAGAGGAAAAGTTGGAAGCTAGCAGTGGTTGGTTCGTGAGGTTTAAGGAAAAAAGCCATCTTCGCAACATAAAAGGGCAACATGAAGCAGCATATGTTGATATAGTGCTGCAAATTATTCAAAATATCTAGCTAAGATCATTGATGAAGGTGGCTACTCTAAGCAATAGATTTTCAATGTAGATGAAACAGCCTTGGAATAGATAGATCTAATGGAAGAAGATGATATCTAAGACTTTCAAGGCTAGAAAGGAAAAGTCAATGCCTGGCTTCAAAAGCTTCAAAGGACAGACTGACTCTCTTGTTACAGGCTAACAGAGCTATTAGGGGCTAAATGAGCTGATGCTCATTTGCCATAACGAAAATCCTAGGGCCCTTAAGAATTATGCTAAATCTGCTCTGCCCGTGCTCTATAAATGGAACAGCAAGGTCTGGATGACAGCACATCTGTTTAAGCACAGTTTACTGAATATTTTAAGCCCACTATTGAGACCTACTACTCAGAAAAAAAGATTCCTTTCAAAATATTACTGCTCATTCACAATGCACTTAGTTACCCAAGAGCTCTGATGGAGATGTACAAGGAGATTAAAGCTGTTTTTATTATGCCTGCTAACACAACATCCATTCTGCAATCCATGGATCAAGGAATAATTTTGACTTTGAAGTCTTACTGTTTAAGAAATACATTTTGCAAGGCTATAGCTTCCATAGTGATTCAATTTGCATGGCAAAGCAAATTGAAAACCTTTTGGAAAGCATTCACCATGCTAGATACCATTAAGAACATTTGTGATTCAGAGGAGAGGTCAAAGTATCAACCTTAACAAGAGTTTGGAAGTTGAATCCAACCCTTGCAGATAACTTTGGAGGAGTTCAAGACATCAGTGGAGGAAGTAACTGCAGATGTGGTGGAAACAGGAAGAAAACTAGAATTAGAAATAGGGCCTGAAGATGTGACTGAATTACTGCAGTCTCACAGTAAAAAATAAATAAGGAATTGCTACATATCAATGAGCAAAGAAAGTGGTTTCTTGAGATGGAATCTACTCCTAGTGAAGATGCTATGAACATTGTTGAAATGACAACCAAGAATTTAGAATATTACATAAACTTAGTTGATAAAGCAGCAGCAGAGTTTAAGTGAATTGACTCCAATTTTGAATGAAGTTCTAATGTGGGTGAAAATGCTGTCAAATAGCATTGCATGGTACAGAGAAATCTTTCATGAAAGGAAGAGTCAATCAATGTGGCAAACTTCATTGTTGTCTTATTTTAAGAAACTGCCACATCAACCACCACCCTGATCAGTCAGCAGCCATCATCACTGAGGCAGCCTCTGATCACAATGGAATCAAACTAGAAATCAGTAACAGAAGGATAACAGGAAAATCTCCTAACACTTGGAAACTAAACACCACACTTTTTTTCTTTTGTTTTTGTATGTGTGTAAGTGTTGTTTTTTTTTTTGAGACGGAGTTTCGCTCTTTTTGCCCAGGCTGGAGTGCAATGGTGTGATCTCGGCTCACCGCAACCCCCGCCTCCCAGATTCAAGCGATTCTCCTGCCTCAGCCTCCCGAGTAACTGGGATTACAGGCATGTGCCACCACGCCTAGCTAATTTTGTATTTTCAGTAGAGGCGGGGTTTCTCCATGTTGGTCAGGCTGGTCTTGAACTCCCGACCTCAGGTGATCCACCCGCCTCGGCCTCCCAAAGTGCTGGGATTACAGGGGTGAGCCACCGCGCCCAGCATTTTTTTGTGTTTTTTTTGTTTTTGAATAACACACTTCCTTTTTCAAAATGGAGTTTCACTCTTTCACCCAGGCTGGAGTGAAGTGGCGCGATTTTGGATCCCTGTAACCTCCGCCTGTTCAAGTGATTCTCCTGCCTCAGCCTCCTGAGAAGCTGGGATTACAGGGATGCACCACCACGCCCGGCTCATTTTTGTATTTTTAATAGAGACAGGGTTTCGCCATGTTGGCCAGGCTGGTCTCAAATTCCTGACCTCAGGTAATCTACCCTTCTTGGCCTCCCAAAGTGCTGGGATTACAGGCATGAGCTACTGCGCCTGGCCTGAACAACACACTTCTAAATAACTCATGTGTCAAACACAAAGTCTCAAGGGAAATTAAAGAAATACATTGAACTGAATGAAAATGAAAATACAACATCTCAGAATTTGTGGGACACAAAGCTGTGCTGAGAGGGAAATATGTAGCATTAAATGAATTTATTAAAAAAGGAAAAAGTCTCAAATCAATAATCTAAGATGCCACCTCAAGAATCTAAAACAAAAAGAGCAAAATAAGCTTAAAGCAAGCAGAGAGAAGGAAATGATGAAGATAAGGGCAGAAGTGAAACAGCCAAACCAGAAAAGAGCAAAAAACCTCCTTAGGAAAAATGACAAAGCCCAAGGAAGGAAAAACAAAAGAGAATGGTCATGAGATTCATGTGGGGATTACTTAGAGCTGGCAAGCAGATGAAAATAAACCAAGTGGTTGCTTTAGTTTCTTCTCTGGAAAGAATGCAGATGACTAGGCATGAATAGGAACGATCACTCCAGTACTCTGCTGTCAAAGAAGTCACATCACTGAATTCTTAAGTCCAAGCATAAATGTAATTTTTTTTTTTTTCACATTTTAGGCTAAAGTATGAGGTAAAAAGCAAAAGTCCTCTGAAAGTCAAAATGTCTTATCGAAATGTTTGAAATATTGGCAATGAAATTTCCTACCACTATTTAACAGGATAACCTAAAAGATCAACAGGTGTCTATTATTAACTTAAGGCTCTGAAGGCAAGCCACGATCAAGCTAAAATTATGCAATTTTACACATGATATCAATATTGGTTGTTTCATATAATTCGGGATCTCTCCCCAAACCACCACCAATACTGGATATAGCTTTTGTCAAAAAGGCTTTCTTACCTCATAGAAGAAGGGATGTCCAGCCATATCAAAGATGTTAACTTTGATTTCTCTGTCTCTGACGTGTACCCTGAAATGTTCAAATGGAAACAATCCCAAAGAAAGTCATGGTTTCTCCATTTACTTTAGTATCATTTATAAATTTCAAAAGGGTATGTGTATGCAATTTATGAAGCTTTCTTAGTGCCTCTTCTTCATTCCAGATCATCTTTACAACAGCAGTCAGCAACCTGACAGAAGACCCTGCTTTCTTTCTTTTTTTTTTTTGAGACGGAGTCTCGCTCTGTTGCCCAGGCTGGAGTGCAGTGGCCAGATCTCAGCTCACTGCAAGCTCTGCCTCCCGGGTTTATGCCATTCTCCCGTCTCAGACTCCTGAGTAGCTGGGACTACAGGCGCCCGCCACCACACCCAGCTAGTTTTTTGTATTTTTTTAGTAGAGACGGGGTTTCACCGTGTTAGCCAGGATGGTCTCGATCTCCTGACCTCGTGATCTGCCCGTCTCGGCCTCCCAAAGTGCTGGGATTACAGGCTTGAGCCACCGTGCCCGGCCCATCCTGCTTTCTTATCCCAAGAACACTGAACCCACATGCAGTAGGCATTCTCAATTACTTCACTTTCACCTTCACCTCTAGAAACTTTGGTCCACCACTCCCAACCAACAAAGGGTAGCTATTACTATGGTATTAAGAAAAATTGATTTGGGATAAGTAGGAGCAAGATGAAGGAAAATGAAAACTTTTATTTCACTTAGTAAGAGACATCTTAATTACCACTGGTTATATTTGGTTATCACACAGTAGAATAACAAAGATGTATATGAATCATGTCTGTTTAATTTTCTTGTGATCTTTATTTGAGCAAGAGCAATAGTGAATTTGTTTTCAGATATTTGGAAATAAAGAATAAAACCAAAGGGGAAACAGTAACTATTCATATTAGAATTAACTACTGTTAACATCATAGCATATTTGCTTCCAGTCTTTTTTTTTTTCCACGAAAAATCACCAGTGGAAAATGATAAAGGAACATTAGAAATAATTCAAACACTAAAGAAAAACACAAGGATGAATGTTTAAAAGTTATTCCAGGCCGGGCGCGGTGGCTCAAGCCTGTAATCCCAGCACTTTGGGAGGCTGAGACGGGCAGATCACGAGGTCAGGAGATCGAGACCATCCTGGCTAACACGGTGAAACCCCGTCTCTACTAAAAAATACAAAAAACTAGCCGGGCGAGGTGGCGGTGCCTATAGTTCCAGCTACTCGGGAGGCTGAGGCAGGAGAATGTTGTGAACCCGGGAGGCGGAGCTTGCAGTGAGCTGAGAACCGGCCACTGCACTCCAGCCTGGGCGACAGAGCCAGACTCCATCTCAAAAAAAAAAAAAAAAAAAGTTATTCTAGGCCAATAGGTAGAGAGGGAGAGAGATGTAGTGAAATGACCTGTCTATATTCCCTCCCTGATTCCAGCCAGCTCTGAGGCCCAGCGGCACCCTTGTTGCTAGATTATGTGAACTGATTAATATCCTTTTTCTTTTATTTTGCTTAAGTTGGTTTGAAATAGGTTTCTGTCAATTATATTCTCCTGACTCATCATGGGACAAACATCTCTTCCAAAAATATTTCTGCCAGAAACAAAATAGTCTGTTGAATATACCACGGTCCTATGGCATAATATGGTAATTCTCACATCTTAGATAAATAAACTAGCTACTTATATGAATTCAGAACAGAACTATCCTAAACAGGATGTCCTACTACCTCACTGATGAAATCCTATGCTTTGTAGTAGGAAAGAGGAAAAGAAAACTAGAAAGAAAGGTGAATTTCAGGCTGGATGCGGTGGCTCATGCCTGTAAACCTAGCACTTTGGGAGGCCGAGGTGGACGGATCACGAGGTCAGGAGTTTGAGACCAGCCTGGCCAACATGGTGAAACCCTGTCTCTACTAAGAATACAAAAATTAGCTGGGTGTGGTGGCACGTGCCTGTAATCCCAGTAACTCGGGAGGCTGAGACAGGAGAATCGCTTAAACCCGGGAGGCGGAGGTTGCAGTGAGCTGAGGTTGCAGCGAGCTGAGATTGCACCACCGCACTCCAGCCTGGGTGACAAGAGCGAAACTCTGTCTCAGGGGAGAAAAAAAGAAAGAATGCGAATTTCATTTTTATTTTTATTTAGTTTTGAGAAGGAGTCTCATTCTGCTGCCCAGGTTGGAGTGCAGTGGCGTAATCTTGGCTTACTGCAACCACCGCCTCCCAGGTTCAAGTGATTTTCCCACCTCAGCCTCCCAAGTAGTTGGGATTATAGGCACCTGCTACCACATCTGGCTAATTTTTGTATTTTTAGTAGAGACGAGGTTTCACCATGTTGGCCAGGCTGGTCTCGAACTCCTGGTCTCAGGTGATCCGCCCACCTTGGCTTCCCAAAGTGCTGGGATTACAGGCGTGAGCCACTGTGCCAAGCCAGAAATGTGAATTTCAAATGAAGAGCTTCGTACATTTCACTGCCAAGAGCTACAATTTTCATTCTTTAAAGAAAATTTGCAGAAATACCCTCTGCTGCTGTCAGTTGAAAACACTGCTATAAGAGCATTACATAGAACTCTTGAGTTTTACTTTACCATTTACTGGGGCCACTTTAAATAGCCATGAAGAATACATCTGAACTTGATTCCACTCTTCACCTAATTGACATTCTGCTAGCTATATGTCATGACTTTAGTCTACCTTCTTAAAAATTGCCCTCATAGTCTAATCTGGCAATCTTCCTCTTTAGATGTATCTATCTTACCTAACAATAAATATTTGTTGAGTACCTATTAGGTATAAGCACTATGCCAGGCACTTGGAGAAAATTTATACTAATACATTTTCAGGGAGTTTATAATCTAGAAGGAGACATTACACATATACAAATAATAACAATACAAGGCAATTTGGTAAGTACCATAAATAGCATAGAGAAGTTTAGGATTTCTGTCATTTGCAACCAAAAGGAGTCCTGACCAATAAAGGGCATGTTTAGAAGACCTTACAGGAACAGGAGAATGTTTATATCTCAGAGAAATTGGCAGAGGTGTTCCAAGTGGACAGGCTGCATAATGATGCTGAGGTAGAAAGTCTGAGGGTAGCAGTTCAGTGTGGATGGAAAGTAAAGTGTGTAACGGAACAGAGAAAAGGGGGAAGGCCAGAATGGGGCCAAGACAGTGAACACCTGAAATTTCATGTTTAGGGAGTATACTACCTACTCCAATTCTACTGTATGGCTATTTCCTGCTAATTACATCCAACTCTTTAAGCTCAACCCCCTCCTGACTCATCGCCAGATAAATCCCCAATTAGACCCAACTTTACTTTTACCTGTTCATTTTTTTTTTCTTTTTTTGGGATGGAGTCTCACTGTTGCCCAGGCTGGAGTACAATGGCACGGTCTCGGCTCACTGCAACCTCTGCCTCCCAGGTTCAAGTGATTCTCCTGCCTCAGCCTCTTGAGTAGCTGGGACTACAGATGTGTGCTACCACACCTGGCTAATTTTTGTATTTTTCTTAGAGACAGGGGTTCACTATGTTGGTCAGGCTGGTCTTGAACTCCTGACCTCGTGATCCGCCCACCTCGGCCTCCCAAAGTGCTGGGATTACAGGTGTGAGCCACCGTGTCTGGCCCATTTTTGCTGGATTCTAATAGCTATGAAGATCATAAACCAATAAAAAAAGTTCTCTGGTAGAAAATGTTTCACACAATATTTATAGACTTTTTAGAGAGAATATTTCAAAATGCTCTAAAAACACATCTGCTAGAAGGAACTGCTAATATAAAAACATGTTTCCTGGAAAGCTACACCTGCCATTTAGGCTTCGTGTTGACATCCTCATCATTGTAGCCTACACCTAACATGAGGCCTGGTGAACTGGATGCGCTCAATACCAATACATGGGCTGAATGAATGATATGATCACTAGATACCTTTAAAGGTCTCCTATTCCCATCTTTCCCAACTTATCTTCAAAGTCTCCATTTCAAGATTACCTACACAAGTGCACTGATGCAAATATAGATCATTTTGGAAAGTTCTGAACTTCTATGTAACTTATAAACCCAGGGGAACAATATACTTACTTTGTAACTCCATAGTCAATTCCAATTGTTGCCAGGTATTTAGACACGAATCTTTTCTCACAGTATCGCTTTATAATACAGCTCTAAAAAGGTAAAAAATACAGGCATTTAGTAAATATACAGTGAGAACACATACATAATAAGTATATTTCTTCATTATGGTTCCTCCATTCATCACCACGAAAAAGCATTTTCAAAAGACAAAAGTGGTGTGGCGTGGTGGCTCACACCTGTAATCTCAGCACTTTAAGAGGCTGAGGAGGGCGGATCACCTGAGGTCACGAGTTCAAGATTAGCCTGGCCAACATGGCAAAACCCCTCTCTACAAAGATATAAAAATTAGCCAGGCATGGTGGCAGGCACCTGTAATCCCAGCTACTCGGGAGGCTGAGGCAGGAGAATTGTGTAAACCTGGGAGGCGGAGGTTGCAGTGAGCTGAGATTGCTGCCATTGCACTCCAGCCTGGGCGGTAAGAGTGAACTCTGTCCTTAAAACAAACAAAAAAAAAAGACAAAACTATAAGATAACTGAAACAAGTGTTAAAAGATTTTAAGAAAAATTATTTTTAAATTCTTCCCTTATTACTAAATACGCATATGTTTTCAGTTGAGTTCTCAATCCTGTGCTCTTTTCTTTTGAAGATGTCTTCTATTCTTACGCTTTCAATGATACCTGTCTAGCCTTGACCTCACTGCCAAGACGAGAGCCACATCTCCAAATATCTATTAGATTAGTTCCTTTTTTTTTTTTTTTTTGAGCCTAGGAGGAGAGGCTGCAGTGAACCATGATGGTGCTACTGCACTCCAGCCTGGGTGGCAGAGGGAGACGCTGTCTCAAAAAGAGAAAAAAAAAAATTTCCTGTTAAATCAATTGAATTGGGTTTGTCCTACTTGCAGTAAAAAGTACTCACTTCATGGAGTATTGCACATACTTCTAGAGTTTGCTTTTCTCTCTTAGCAATAACAAATTATGGTTCCCAAGTTAACTTTAAAATAGCTCTACTCACTTTTTTATGGTTGCACAATAGTCTGTGATACACAAATATTCCCTCCTTTTCACTGCTAGCTAGTTACTTTGTCATTTGTTTTGATTTGCTGTTTGAGGCAATGATTAATTACTAAGGCATTCCTTAATTTTTAACTTTAAAATGCTTTACCTGTATATCATCCTATATTTTCCAAATGCTTTAAAATGAGTATGTGTTACTTTTACCACTAAGGCAAAATAATAAGTTCTTTAAAAAGTTACACTTAAAACTTTTATCCATCTAGAATTTATTTATATATATATTTTTAGGAGAGATGAGGTTTCACCATGTTGGCCAGGATGGTCTCGATCTCCTGACCTCATGATCTGCCCGCCTCAGCCTCCCAAAGTGTTGGAATTACAGGCATGAGCCACCGTGCCCAGCCTAGAATTTATTTTTGAGAAAGGAATGTAATAGGAATCGAACCTACTCTCAAATAGTACATAGTTGTTCCAGCAATATTTACTAAATGGTCTCTATTTTCCCATACTTTTACTACATTTGTTGTAAATTGAATTTCCTTATGTATTTGTGTTTATTACTGGACTCTACTCTGTTCCACTGATGTCTCCATTTTCCTTCCCAATACCAATGGGAAAAGTTTGGTAGCTTGAAAAAAAAATTTTTTTTAAATAAAACAATCATTTCATTGCTTGAGTACATAGACAAATTTATATGACCAGGACAGAGGCTGCAGATCACTCATTTCCAATTGGGAGGGAGGACTCACTTGGTCTTACAATATTGAGCCAAAGGGTGACTCCGGCTCTCTATCAGAATCAGACGGAATTTAGCATCCTTATATTCTTTCTGTTCAAGATGCTTTCGAACAACAACTACTTCTTTTCTTTTTTTTTTTTTTTTTGAGACGGAGTCTCGCTCTGTCGCCCAGGCTGGAATGCAGTGGCCAGATCTCGGCTCACTGCAAGCTCCGCCTCCCGGGTTTACGCCATTCTCCTGCCTCAGCCTCCCGAGTAGCTGGGACTAAAGGCGCCCGCCACCTTGCCCGGCTAGTTTTTTGTATTTTTTTAGTAGAGACGGGGTTTCACCGGGTTAGCCAGGATGGTCTCGATCTTCTGACCTCGTGATCTGCCCGTCTCGGCCTCCCAAAGTGCTGGGATTAACAACTACTTCTTAATTAAATGGTAGAGATCTTCAGGGAGATCAGGAGCAAGACCCTTCTTGGACTTAAGAATTCTTAAGATGCTACTGCCTGTCACAAAACGTACTTGAGTCTCTCAAGAACCACACTTGAAAAGGGAATCATGTTTTAACTTCCAACACCAAACATGTGAATGTGATGATGTCAAGACTCAGGTATTACGGCATAGTTTCCTATTTTTAACATGGGAGTCTACTTTTATACATCACAGAAACCAATATGGGAATGCATGCAAAAAGCTCTCACAGACATCCAAGGAAGGTTTACCCAACACTAAGGAACCCCTTTCTGGTGGAAATTGTGAACGTTGAAAAACCATCATCACTGTGAATAAAAAATTTTTTTTCTTTTTAGAGACAGTCTCGCTCTGTCCCCAAGCTGGAGTGCAGTGGCAAGATCTCAGCTTACTGCAATCTCCACCTCCCAGGTCCAAGCAATTCTCCTGCCTCAGCCTCCCAAGTAGCTGGGACTACAGGCATGTGCCACCATGCCTGGCTAATTTTTTGTATTTTAGTGGAGATGGGGTTTCACCGTGTTGCCCAGGCTGGTCTCAAACTCCTGAGCTCAGGCAATCCGCCTGCCTTGGTGCTAGAATTACAGGCGTTAGCCACTGTGCCCGGCCTGAAAAATATTTTAACAAGGCTGATAACAGTTAGTCTTCTCTCATTTCTCTTTTTTTCCCAAAAAATTTTCTTTGTTGTTTTCACATTAATTTTTCAAAAAGACTTTAGTAGTCTTGTATTATGTTCTGGAAAAAAAAAAAAAAAAAAAAAAACCCTTATTGATGTTTTCACTGGAATTGAATTTCATTTGTAGGTTGAGTAATTCACATCTATACAATATTGCATAATCCTATCTAAGGAAAAAGTATATGTTTCCATTTGCCTAAGTAATTTATGTCTCTTCGTAGAGTTTGAAACTTGTCTTCATATAGGTGCTGCCTATTTCATGTTAAGTTTAAACCTAGGCACTTTGTTTTTGTTGTAACTGTAAATTAAAATTGTTTTTCAATTACACATTTGGAATGTGTAATTCCAATATAATTCCAATATAATTCTGAATATAATTTGGACACAATAAAGTTATTAATTTGTGGGTATTAACATTGCTTTATTGAATTTTCATGTTTCTAATAGTTTTTCAGTTAATTCTCTTTAGGTTTCCAGGTAAACAACTGCATTATTAGCAAATAATGTTAATTTTACCTTCTCTTTTCTAATATTTTTGTATTTTCTTACACTTGTCTAATTGCACTGGCTAATAAAACTAGAAAAATGTTAAACAGATGTGGTGACACCAGGCATTCTGAGCTGCTTCTAATGTTGCATCATTAGACACAATAAATAACTTTTTTTTTTTTTTTTTTTTGAGACAGAGTCTTACTGCCGCCCAGGCTGGAGTGCAAAGGTGCGATCTCGGCCCACTGCACCCTCTGTCTCCCCGGTTTAAGCGATTCTCCTGCGTCAGCCTCCCAAGTAGCTGGGATTAAAGGCGTGTACCACCATGCCTGGCTAATTTTGCATTTTTAGTAGAGACGGGGTTTCACCTTGTTGGTCATGCTGGTCTTGAACTGCTGACCTCAAGTGATCCGCCCGCCTCGGCCTCCCAAAGTGCTGGGATTACAGGCCTGAGCTACCGTGTCCAGTCCCTAGAGGCTTAAAAAAACAAACAAAAAACCTCGCACGTACACAGCTGACGTTCAAAAAAATGTTGACTTTCAGTGAATACTATGCTAGCACATACACACATAGGCAGTACAGGATCATACTACGTAGAAATAAAAAACACTAAGTAAACTTTTACTGAACATCTCCTGGGTGCCAGGCGCTGGCCTAAGCACTGCCTTAACAGCTCTTTCGGAGTTGATTTTGACAACGATGGAAAGACCACCGCAGTGGGAATGTGAAGACTTAGGTTCTAATCTTTTCTCGGTCATTGATTTGATGTCGTTGGGAAGTTCTTAACCAACAGCTTCCACTTGCCCAGAAGGAAATAATTTGGGTGAAGAGAAGGCCGTCTTGGAATTCGTCGGGGAAAAGGCCTCAGGTTACCTCTGGCCTTACCTTCCCGCATACTAAAGGAGAGTTTATAGCTGGTGAACCATAGATGGGGCAGAGAAGGGCGGTGGAACTAACAGATATGGGAACACCACCAGAAATAAAACACAACGCAAAACAAAAGAGCGCCGGACCCCGGCCATCCCTGGCACCTGCCCTGTGAAACACATCAACGTCAGTTACGCTCTCTCGTGACGGGAATGCAGAATCTGGGCTGCCGGGCACCATTTCGCGAACCCCAAATTCTCACACGCACCCCATGACGTTCCGCCAACTCCCAGGCCCGGCTGGGGGAATTCAACTTTCATCCTCCACTTCCCGGTCCTGGACAGCCCCCTAGAACGCGGGCAAGGCATCTAGGCCGACGGCCCCGCATGGGAACCCAGGCCTCCTTACTCTTTGGGGGACATATTCAAGGCCTAGAGGCCACCCCAGACTGCATCTCCGGGAGAGTGACGTCGGAGGACGAGGGGGCAACGCAAAGGTCAAAAAGGTCGGGGAGCTTCGCTCGCGGAGCCGCACCCCTTGGCGGAGACCCGGGCCTGCTCGGGGGCGGAGAGGAGGCCGGGCCCCAAGCCGTTGAGTGGCCGCCCTTCCAGCCAATGGGCATGTCGCCCCGCCACGCTGGGGCCCGCCCCTCCCGACGCGCAGTACTCACTTTCCCCACTTCGGCGTTGCCCATGGAGATGACTTTGATGCGGAGAGACCTGCCGGGCTCCTTCCGCTTCGACATGTTGGCCTCCATGGCCTTGGCTCTCTCGGGGCCACCCGCCTCGGTCTCTCCTTGTGCACCGCTGGCCCGTCCCTCAGGCCTCCTCGTCCAATGGCGGACCCGCTGCTCCCGTCACCGCCTCGCCTCCGCTGCTCGCCATCCCAGCCGCTGCCTGGCAGCAGGCGCGGGCGGTTGGGAGCGCAGGGAGCAGGGAGAGGGAGGCAGAGTCTCGCGATGCTAGCGCGGGACTGCTGACGTCATCTGCAGGCCCTGGATACGCGGCCGGGGTTACCGGGTCTCTGGGGCTGCGTCCCCTGACGGGAAGGAGGCGTTGGGGGGCGGCTGGGTTTACCCTTCGAGGTGAGCGCGGCCTTGTTTTCAGGGACGCCCGGACGGGAGGCGTTTGTTGCTTTCGCAGCCGAGTGGTGGAAATGTATTGGCTCTTCAGGGCAGGTCTGGTAGTATCTGGTCCTTTGGGGAGTGTTTTGTTTTTTGTTTTGTTTTGTTTTGTTTTTTCCTGGAGTTTTCTTCGGTTCCATGGGCCGGTCTGCTGCTCCTCTTCCCCCTCCAATATTATGTTCCCCTTGCTCGAGATCTTCGAGAGGTGGACCCCAGAGTCAGGAAAGTGGGGAGGTCGGAACCCTGGTTCTGGAAGACGGCCTTGGGCAAGGCGGGAAGCGATTCTGAATCTGGTTCCTATCGCTTTTCATTTTAAATGGAATTGTCTATTTGAAGTCAAGGCAAGAGTGTTTAGTCTTGGCCCTTCTATTACAGAGATCTGATGGATTTGTTGACTCCTCTGTGTGAGAAAGGCTCGGCCTGCTGCAGGTGTTAACGCGAAGCCATGCTGGAGCTGTGGACGTCAGTTTCCTCAGCTCCCAGCTGTTCACTTCGAACGTGACCTCGAGGTCTGCTCTCCCCTTCCCTTTAGCTGACAATGTAACAGTGGAAGAATAAAGAGTCCTAAGATAACCACTTTTCTGCTACATTCCAGCAGATGAGAAAAGCAGCTGCTTGAATAAAAGTCAGTCTGAGAGGAATGGTAATTTATTTTTTCAGTCAATATCTTCAGTTACAGAAGATAAATAGAACTTGACAATGATTACAGTGCCCTGAAAAAGAATGGCTGCCAATTTCCCTGTATATTACAAAGTATTGCTTCTTTTCTCACCTAACTTTAAACATCTTAAGGGAAGTGCATTACGGGAAGGCAATGAACAAAGGCTCAACATTTCATAGTAAAGTCAGATTTTCGACATTTTAATTTTAAAATGTATTTTTTAAACATTAAGTTTTTTTAAGACGTTTATAAATAATATAACTTAATTCACTGAAGCTTCTAAAATTATTTACAAATATGAAATATAAGTCCTGGTTAGAATTTGGATAGTTTTAAAGCGTAAAAGAATCCACATGCTAACTTCTCAGTATGATTTAATAAATCAAACTGCTAAACATCTGATTTCTTCGGGGGACTCTCTTTCTTTAATGTGTGCTCATAATTGTCACGTGAGGAATATCTTCAACACCTTCTCATCTCTTCTTAAAACAAGCTGTACCTTCGTAAACATCTGATTTCTTCGGCAGTTCACCTTTGGCCCTGTAATAGGGTAACTGGTATTGTGGAAGAATAATTGTAAAATGTCAAATCTTCAGCTGTTTAACAACTGATTAAGTGTGGTGCTGTTGAGACTAAGCAGTAAAACATGCCAGAGATTAAAATTGATTACTATTTTTTTCATATTGATGGTTTTTTTGTTTTGTTTTTGTTTTGAGACAGTTTCACTCTTTCTGCCCAGGCTAGAGTCCAGTGGCATAATCTCAGGTCACTGCAACCTCCGCCTCCCAGGTTCAAGCGATTCTCCTGCCTCAGCCACCTGAGTAGCTGGGATTACAGGTGCCCACCACCATGCCGAGCTAATTTTTGTATTTTTAGTAGACATGGGCTTTCACCATGTTGGCCAGGCTGGTCTCCAACTCCTGACCTCAGGTGACCCACCTGCCTTGGCCTCCCAAAGTGCTGGGATTATAGGCATGAGCCACAGTGTCCGGCCCATATTGATGCTTTTGACATTTTATTATATATAGCTACATTTTCTACTGTATGTATTAAATTAGTTTGGAATTGAAAGAGCAAGAAAGTTGTTTTTTTCCCGCACTCTTTGAATATAAAAAAAATAAAAATGAGCACAAGTTAGCTGTTCTTTCCATAGTATGGACCTGGGAGGTGTGGTGCGAGCATGGATTCTGGAGCCAGTCCGATACACTTAATGTTGGCATATGTTGTAGGCATGAGGTGGTGATAAGGATTGTAGGAGATAATGCACACGAAGTACGTAGTAGTCCCCAGCATACAGCAGCTACATGCTCTCATTTGCTCATACTTTTTTTATGTATTAAGAAAAATCCTACATCTTTTTAATGTATATTTTTTTTTCTTCTTTTTTTTTTTTTTTTGAGAGAGAGTCTCGCTCGGTCGCCCAGGCTGGAGTGTGGTGGCCGGATCTCAGCTCACTGCAAGCTCCGTCTCCTGGGTTTACGCCATTCTCCTGCCTCAGCCTCCCGAGTAGCTGGGACTACAGGCGCCCACCACTTCGCCCGGCTAGTTTTTTTTTTTGTATTTTTTAGTAGAGACGGGGTTTCACCGTGTTAGCCAGGATGGTCTCGATCTCCTGACCTCATGATCCGCCCGTCTCGGCCTCCCAAAGTGCTGGGATTACAGGCTTGAGCCACCGCACCCGGCAATATGTATTTTTAGAAAGGAAATTATGAAATACTTTGGACATACTTAAAGGTATAAAGTATAATGGAATGAATAGCCATGTATCCCCCACCCAGTTTAAGAAATACAGTATCACCACTGGGCATGGTAGCCCATGCCCATAATCCCAGCACCTTGGGAGGCCAAGGCCCAGTGGATCATTTGAGCCCAGGAGTTCGAGATCAGCCTGGGCAACATGGCAGAACCCTGTCTCTACAAAAAAAAGAAAGTTAGCTGTGTGGTGGCCCAAGCCTGTTGTCCCAGCCACTCAGGAGGCTGAGGTGGGAGAATCACCTGATCCTGGGAGGTTGAGGCTGCAGTGAGCTATGATCGTGCCATTGCCCTCTAGCCTGGGCAACAAAGTTGGACCCTGTCTAAAAATAAATAAATGAAAAAAGAAAACATCACTGATACTGTGCATAGCCTTTCCCAATACATCCCTCTTCCCTCTCAACAAACAGTTGCAACAATCTGAATGCTGCTTTAATTTCCAGGCATTTAAAATTGTTTTACTATGTATGAATATATACCTTAAAAGGTAGTATTGCCTTTCGTCTTTCAAAACTATTTTGAAATATTTTTACACAGAAAAGTTTCAAGAATGGTACCAAAAAATCTTGTCTACCCTTTATCCAAATTCATAAATTGTTAACATTTTGTCCCATTTTTTCTATCACTTGTGCTGTCTATATGTACATGCATACTCACATTTTTCTGAGTAGTTTGAGGTTTATTTGCAGACATTTTAATAAATAGATAGATAGATAGATAGATAGATAGATAGGTAGATAGATAGATAGATATGAACAAACAGACCCAGCTCGGTGGCTCACACCTACAATCCCAGCACTTTGGGATGCCAAGACGGGTAGATCACTTGAGGTCAGGAGTTCGAGACCAGCCTTGCCAACATGGTGAAACCCCATCTCTACTGAAAATACAAAAATTAGCAGATGTGGTGGTACACACCTGTAATCCCAGTGACTTGGGAGGCTGAGGCAGGAGAATTGTTCAGAAATATATATAAACACGTATATAATATATACACATACATATAGTGGATAATATATACATATATGTGTATATATATGTGAATATATATGTGTGTGTATATATATTTCTTTTTTTTAGAGAAGGAGTCTCACTATGTCACCCAGGCTGGTTTTGAACTCCTGGGTTCAAGCGGTCCTCCTGCCTCAGCCTTCCAAAGTGCTGAGATTATAGGCATGAGCCAGTGCGCCCAGCCAGCATGTTTCTTTATCCATAAATAATTAAATGTGTGTTTCCTCAGAAGGACTTTCTTCTACATGGCAACAGTAATTTATCAAAATCAGAAAATGCAGTATTTATACAGCATTATTATAAAATCCTGTTGTTTGAATCAAACTGTGCACTGAGGTACCTCACATTCCCACAGTAAATCCACAGGGGGATATCTGTGGAATAGCTTGCATTCTAAATTTTCAAGGCAAACAAAATGAAATCTAAACGACTGTGCAAAACTACTAGCTACTAGGTTGTTTACAGTTTCAACAACAGATGGCGCCAAATTCCCTGTCTATGTCATATCTTGGGGCATCTGGGCTTTCCAGTTGGTTGTGATGAAAAGTGAGTACACTGGGCCGGGCGCGGTGGCTCACGCCTGTAATCCCAGCACTCTGGGAGGTGGAGGCGGGCGAATCACAAGGTCAGGAGATCGAGACCATCCTGGCTAACAGAGGTGAAACCTCGTCTCTACTAAAAAATACAAAAAATTAGCTGGGCATGGTGGCGGGCGCCTGTACTCAGGCAGCTGAGACAGGAGAATGGCATGAATCTGGGAGGCAGAGCTTGCAGTGAGCTGAGATCGCGCCACTGCACACCTGCCTGGGCGACAGAGCCAGACTCTGTCTCAAAAAAAAGAAAAAAAAAAGGAAAAGTGAGTACACTGCAAAAATCAATGTGGAACAGGAAATGAGGGTGGCCTTGCCCAGTCTAATTCCAAGTTTGAGAAGTATGTGCCTGACAGGTGCACACATCCCGTTAATAAGTAAGTGTGGTTGTTTAAGAATGAAAAACATTGTTTTCCTTTTAATTTGCATGTATTTTTTTTAATGGCTACTAAATTATTAGGGCATAAATACTTAGTAAGTTGTTTGGACCTAGATATTTCTTTTCACCAAGGGGCATCGTAAAAAAAATTACTGGCCAGGGGCACGGTGGCTCACACCTGTAATTCTAGCACTTTGGGAGGCCGAGGCAGGCTTATGAGGTCAGGAGATGAAGACCATCCTGGCTAACATGGTGAAACCTTATCCCTACTAAAAATACAAAAAATTAGCCAGGCATGGTGGCACGTGCCTATAGTCCCAGCTACTCGGGAGGCTGAGGAAGGAGAATCGCTTGAACCTGGGAGGTGGAGGTTGCAGTGAGCCAAGATCATGCCACTGCACTCTAGCCTGGGCAACAGAGTGAA